GAGAAAGAGGCCCCAGAGATCAAGGCAGTGGGCGTGTAGGAATTTATCTATGCACCAGGTCCTGTGAGAACGACTCTACCTATCCTCAAGGAGTATCCTGGGAAGGTTGGGGGCCTCCGAATCACTTTGGCAAGGGAAGAAATTCCCATGGCTCCCTTACCTGAGCCCTGTACATTCCCACCTCAACTCCCAGTTCTTGTTACATCCAGGCCGTGGGCAGGGAGATCCAGGGCTCCGGGATTCCAAGCAGACACTTGTCCCTGATTACTGCCCTATCATACTCCCTAGAGCCCAGCAATCCAGAGCAGTAGGGCTGGGAGGGGAGATAGAGAGAAGGGGGTGAAGGGTCACACCCAGCTCAGCTCTACCAGGACCCCAAGTTAAACGCTGGAGCAAAGCCAGATCTTCTCAGCGATGTCTCCTCCCTAGTGAAGGGCATACGGTCAGGAGGGAGCACTTCCATGAACTCTCTTTCCCCAGGGGCCTGGCCAGAAGTGTATCCTTTTTTGAGCTCTTGCAAGAAGTGTGTGTGGGTAGAACAGGCAAACCTCACCCTCAGGACCCAGGGACTGGCTTCGGACCGATTGCTCTGAGATGCTTCTGCAGGCCGGTTTGGTCTTTCTCCCCGTAGTCAGCAGAAAAGACCCTGCTTTACCTTGCTGTGAAGCTGTTCTCTGGCAGTGGTGTAGCTGTGTTCCCGCCAGGACGAGGTGGTGCCAGGGCCTGGGCCCCTCACCTTGTCTCTGTTAGTTCCCCTCTGCCATCCAGGGACCGGGCTGTTGAGGCGGGGAGCTTGGCTGCTCAGTCACTCGCTGGGGGGTGCCACCCTCTCCTCCCCACCCCAGCCGGACTCGGATGGGTGCAGCCTGCATTTTGAAGGAGAGTGGCGGACAGCAGAGCGGGATGGCCGGGCGAAGCAGGAAGTGAGAGACTGGGCGCTACAGTCACAAACGGCATCCTGGGAGGAGGGAGGAGAAAGTCAGGGGGTGCTGGAAAGCACTGACCAGTCTGAGACTGGTGCTTGGCCACCCTTCAGCCATGCCCACAGCCAGTCCCAGTGGCTAAAGCCAATCTCTGGACCAACATTTCTATGTATTGTTTTGTCCCACAAGAGCAGTAATGAATGTTCATGTATTACATTCTGGACCATAAAGAAAGGACACTGGACATTGCGCATGGTCCTGGAGAGCTAAGATATTTTCACAATGTACTGTGCACACACACATTTGCCCGAATGACCTCATGCCCTACAGCCCATCTGACATGCGCAAAACATAAACCCGTTTCTGTCACTATGCATGTCTAGGTCTCCTTTCTCAGTCTCTCTCTCTCTTTTCTTTTTTTTGGAGAGGTTTTTGCTATAGGGTGCGTGCGCTCGCCAGACAGACAGAAAGAGACAGAGAGACAGAAAGCGAGAAATCACCCCCCATGGGGGATGGTCACGCCGCAATCTCTTCTCCTCCATTCTCCTCTCGGGATCTTGGGCACGCACGCACATGCGCCCGGCGTGGGTTTTAAGCCACTGGGTCTGGGACGCGAACCGCGATCGACTATGTGGGAGTCCAGCAACATAGCCATTACGCTAACTGCTGGTTCCCTCTCTCTCTCTCTTTTTTTTAGGAAGAGATTTCTTTCTATAGGGTACGTGCCCTCACAGGTGAGAGACAAAGAGAGGCAGAAAGTGAGAAATAACCTCCCAATGGGGGATGGCCACGCCACAATCTCTTCTCCTCCATTCTCCTCTAGGATTTGGGGCACACATGCACGTGCGCCCAGTGTGAGTTTTAAGTTGTCTGGTCCAGGACTCAAACCACGGTCGACTACGTGGGAGTCCAGTGACGTAACCATTACACCATCTGCTGGTCCCTCTCACTCTCTTTTTAAATCATAGTGAGTACCTGCATGAGGAAGACCCTAGCCCTCCAGGTCCTCAGGATCTGGGGCATGAGCTCGTGAGCATGCCCAGCTTGTTTTCAGGCTGACCTGGGGATCTGAACCCATGATCAGCCATGTGGCTCCTGGCACTGCAGTCCAATACTGTACAGACTGCACCAACAAGGCTGACCTTAGGTTTCTTTCTTTCTTTCAACAGGTTTTTGCTATAGGGTGTGTGCGCTCGCCAGAGAGAGACAGAGAGACAGAAAACGAGAAATCACCCCCCAGGGCGGATGGTCACGCCACAATCCCTTCTCCTCCATTCTCCTCTCAGGATCTTGGGCACGCATACACACAAGCCCAGCGTGAGTTTAAGCGACGGTGTCCAGGATCCGAACCACAGTCGACTACATGGAAGTCCAGTGACATAGCCATTACACCAACTGCAGGTCCCAGTTTCCTTCTTTTTAAAGGTTAGATACCATTCCACTGAATGGAAATTACTCACATATCTGATTCACTCTGATGTGCATTTGGGTAGTTTCTAATGTATCAACACATAGGAACAGTGGTTTAAAGTGCTGCTGCAAACCAGACTGCTGGTGTAAAATCCCAGCTCTGCTACTTGTTAGTTCTGTGTCCTTGAGGAAGTTATTTAACCTCTCTGGACCTTGAATTCTACCTCTCTCTCTAAAATTAAAAGAGAGACAGAGAGCAAGAGAGAGAGGAAAAGGGAGAGAGCACCCCCACGGGGGATGTCATACCACAATCCCTTCTCCTCCATTTCTCCTTTTGCAATTTTGGGTGTGTAAGTACACACATCTGGTGTTTGTGTTTGTTTGTTTGTTTCTTTCTTTTTTTAATTATCTGGTGTTTGTGTTTGTTTGTTTCTTTCTTTTTTTAATTTTTGACACTGGGTGTATGTGCACCTTGGAGAGAGACAGAGAGAGGGAAAGTGAGAAATCACCCCCACTGGGGAGAGAGTCACACTGCAATCTCTTCTCCATTCTCTTCTCAGGATTTTAGACATGCATGCACATGTGCCTGGCATGATTTTCAAGCTACCTGGTCCAGGACTTGAATTGCGGTCAGTCATGAGGGAGTCCAGTGCCTCCCCACCATACCACCTGCTGCCCCTCCAGTGTGTTTTTTTTAAGCCCCTGGATCCAGGACTTGAACCATGCAGTCAACCATGTGGGCTCTAGCAGCCTTAACCACCATGTCACCGGCTGGCCCCATTTCCACCTCTCTAATATGAGGAGCATGATACCTTTTTCAAGTTGTGAGAATCAAATCAGGTAAGATATATACAGCAACTGGCATTGTACCTATTCAGAACCCAACAAATGTCAGCAATTTTTGTTAGGGATGTAATACATTAATTCACATGAGTATTTTCTTCCACCTCTGTGACTGTTTCCATAGGCTATATTGCTAAAAGGAGAACTACTGGGTCAAGGGCAGCATATACATTTTACATATTGAAAAGTATCTGGATCGGCTAGAAAATTGGCAATCGAAACCCAGCCAGCTTTGCAGTGCTGTTTCCCAGTGTGCTGTTGGTTATGTGTGCATGCTGATTAACTTTCTCTGTCGATGTGATTGGGCCCCAGGGTGCCCAGATAGTAGGTCAAACATACAGGAATTTTCTGTGTGGGTATTTTTGGAAGAGATTAGCATTTAAATCAGTACACCAAGCAAAACACATTGCCCTCCCTAATGTGGGTGAACCTCATCCAGTCAGTCAAAAGCTTGAACAGAACAAAAAGGTTGACCCTCCCCCCAATGAGAGAATTCTTCCTTCCTGACAGCCTTTGGACCAGGACATCAGCGTTTTCCTGCCTAGAGGCTCTTCCTGAGTCAGGAGCCTGCTGGCCCTTCCGACCAGAATGAAACCATTGGCTTCCCAGGTTTCCAACCTGCTGACTCACCCTACAGATCTTGGGACATAGTGGCCTCGATCGTGGCGCGGGCCAACTCCTCATAATAAATCATGCTTCTCCCTTTCTCCCAACCCTTCCTGTCCCTCTCTCGTCTCACTATATCCTCTCAGTTTTATTTCTCTGGAAAACCCTGACTAATACAATGGCTGTGTTCCCTTTGTGAGAACTCAGTAAGCAATATTCTCACAATATGCTCAGAATAAATATTAAACTTATATTTACAATATTTTAGTGTGAAAAATATACAAGTAGGGAGTAGCAAATGGTGCAATGATTACTGAACTCACACATAGTTAACCACAGTTCGAGTCCTGAACCCGGCAGCTTAAAACTCATGCTGGAGGGCTGGCAGGTAGTATGGTATTTAAGGGCGTTGGACTCCTACATGGCCAAACCACAGTTCGAGTCCTGGACCTGGTGGTTTGCTTTCTCACTTTCCCTCTCTCTTGTGTCCTGTCCCTTTCTAGTCAAATTAAAATAAAAAATAAAATGAATAAAGTTAAATAAAATAATTCTTTTTTTTTTTTTTGAGAGATTTTCACTATAGAAAGTGTGCGCTCGCCAGACAGACAGAGAGAGACATAGAGACAGAAAGCGAGAAATCACCCCCCAGGGGGGATGGTCACGCCGCAATTCCTTCTCCTCCATTCTCCTCTCGGGATCTTGGGCACGCACGCACACGCGCCCGGCATGAGTTTTAAGCCACCGGGTCCAAGACGCGAACCGTGGTCGACTACGTGGGAGTCCAGCGACATAGCACCCCCTAGGGGGGATGGCCACGCCGCAATCCCTTCTCAGTTCTCTCAGGATCCTGGGCATGCACACACACGCGCCCGGCGTGAGTTTTAAGCCACTGGGTCCGGGACACGAACCGCAGTCAACTACACGGGAGTCCAGCGACATAGCCATTATGCTAACTGCTGGTCCCAATAAAATAATTCTTAAAACAAAATTTAAAAAACTCAAACTAGGCATGTGTGCATGTGTGTCCAAAGTCCCGAGAGGAGAATGGAGAAGGGATTGCAGCATGCCCATCCCCTCAGGTGGTGATTTCTCACTTTCTTTCTCTTTGTCTCTGAGGTGAGTGCATGCATCCTATAGCAAAAAATCTCTAAGAAAAAAATAAAAGTAAATACTTAAAAATTTGTCTTTTTAAGCAGCCCGCTGGTGAGACCAGCAGGTGGTGTGGTGGTTTAGGAGCTGTATTCCTACACAGCTGACTATGGTTCAAGTCCTAGACCCAGCAGCTTGAAAATCACGCCAGGTGTGTGTGTGTGTGTGTGTGTGTGTGTGTGTGTACGTGTATGTGTATGTGTCCCAAATCCTGACAGAACAGAGGAGGACTGAGGTATGGTCAGCCCCCCTGGGAGGTGAAGTCTCACTTTCCCTCTCTGTCTCTCTCCAGTGAGCACACGTGCTCCATAGCAACAATCGAAAAAAGGAAAAAAAAGGCAGTCAGCTGGGTGAGAGGACAGAGAAAGAAAGCACTCAGCACACAGTACTTGGCGCCACAGAAACAGGATAAATTCTTTTGAACAATTTAGCAACATTTATCAAATACCGTTTAAATATTTTTGGCCCAGCCTCTGTGGCACAGGTGGTAGCAGACTGGACTACAGAGCTGGGAGCCACATGCAGACCCTGGCTCAAATCCTCAGCCCAGTAAGTTTGAAATCACACTGGCACGTGCACATGCCCAGGATCCTGGTGGCTTACATGGCTGGAAGAAGGGGACCGTGCTGTGACTGTGCCCTCCGGCCAGTGCTTCTTCCTGTTCCTTTTCTCTCTTTGGTAAGTGCAGGAGCTGCATAGCTTAATTAAAATGTTTTTATTGGGGGACCAACAGATGGTGTAATAGTTACGTTGCTAGACGCCCACATAGTCGACCCTTGTTCGAGTCCTGGACCCAGTGGTGTAAAACTCACAGTGGGCACATGTGCTCGCATGCCCAAAATCCTGAGGGAAGAATAGAGGAGAAGGAATTGTGGCGTGGCCATTTCCCCGGGGAGGTGATTTCTTGCTTTCTGTCTCTCTGTTTGTCTCTGTCTCTCTGGCGAATGCACATGTCTGATAGCAAAAGTCTCTCAAAAAAATAAATAAAATAATTTTTTATTGGGTTGTTGGGAAAATCATGGTGCAT